TTGGACGGAAACAAACATCCAAGGTGCCCAGTGCATTTTGATGCTCCGTTTAACCACCAGCACAACCAAAGTGTGAGCGATTCGTACGCTTCTCCTTGGTTGTTTTGAAATCAGGGTTTTTCTATCCATTTCCTTTAAGTGAACTGTCATTGGTTCACCGACCCGGTTATAGCCCCATATTTTAGCTTTTCATCCTCTTACTTTGGGGGGAAAAAACCGCCACGAGAAGGCAATTAGTAGGGTTTCCTCAACAGTGTCTGATTGATACGCTTGGTCGTACAGCAGCAGCAAGAGTAGGGTGACCAGCCACAACCTGAGAAATCTTTCCACCACCTTGTTGAGGTTTTCGGAGGCCGATCAAAACGGGCAGACTGTCTTGAAGCAGTAAAAACATTTTGAATTAACAAAATTTTATCGTTTCATTGTGAACTAGGCTCGTTCGTCCAGTTTCGGCCGTCAGATGACGAAAGTATAGTATGTGTTGTATGGACCGTTTGACATGCATAGTTAGACTGTGGAGATTCTTTGGAAACAGCTTGGTATGAAATACACATCGAGCGCATGCAAGTAGTAGTGGTTTCATACAGAGAGAAAATATCTTGCTGAATGAATATGGCTTTCAATACGCACGCGCAACCTAATCAGTCGGCCTGAGTGCATCATTCTGTGAAGTAATTCATTGTGAAACGTGTAATGGCGGCTGGCTGACATGTTTAGTGTGCTTCACATTACGAGCACCAGCGGCAGGTGCTAACAGTGATGAGCAACATCTTTAGCTCATGGGTACAAAAGTTCAAATGGAATTTGTCCTTGGGCTGTTGGGATGAATACGAAGAAGGCCAAATAATTTCTCATTGTTATTGTCCAGCACCCGGCTTGACCAAAATGTGAACGATTATTGGAACTATATGATGGTACGAGTTGACTACCGTTCCTTTTTCGCAGTGTGGTGTGTTGATGACCAAGAATCCAACCACTCCAAACGAATTACAGAACTACATCGGAGCTAGAGAACAGAGGAAAACACCGCCAATTAATTCGGGGAAAATGTGGAACAGTAGGAGAAGGGGAGCACAAACTGTCACGAGATGAATTTAGTCTTTTGGGAGACGGTAAGTAAATTAACTTACCAACAAAGTGGTGAGATCCGAAAGGGTTGTAAAACAGATTGATATCAAGATCTTCGCATTTGATTCAGTTACTTATGAGTAATAGCCGTTGATCGTTTACCAACAATTTAAGTTCAAACACGTGCGCTTCATTGCCAGTAAAAACTGGTTATCAATCAGTACCTGAGTGGTTATTCAGAATTAACTAGATTTTTATGACAATTCAACTATTCTATGTGATTACGTATTTCGCCCTAATTTATAAAAATAAATTCAGCTTTGTTCAAGTTCATTTTTGTATCGAATTTACACATTAGATGGTCGAAACAACATTCACAATCTAAATTAGACTAACAATTCTGTCCAAAGTTACGCCGAACTTCGTTTGGCATTCTATGTCGAACTCATGTGACATTTGACCTTGAGAATGTGAAGCATGCGACATCGTGATTAATCAATCGATAGTTCAAACAGCCCATGCGCTGAACGTGAGCTCAGACGAAGAGTTACTGTGGCCCGCACACACACGTACAGAATACCGGCAAATTGATCTGATTCAAAACATTGGGCCAGTCGAATGCGACCGAAAGTGACAAAAACGAAAGATTATACTCGAAAATGGGTTGAATACACTATTAACCATCGTCCCATATCTGTGCAGCGTATGCTAGCCAATCCCAGTATTCGAACAGTTTTGTCCCGAACTGGTTGTTCCATTGATGTACAGTCAAGTCGAGTGCCGTCCAGTCTATCGACTAGGTCCACAATGGATGAGTTGGCTATCATTCGGGTTCATGTACCGGACGAGATCACATTGGATGTTTTGAACGAGGAATTGGAGAATGCGTTCCCCGCGTACAGATATCGTCAAAGTTATCGCCATCAGTTATCACAACTTGTGGATCAGACAAAACGTATGATGAACGAATACACCAAAGAACTAACTCAAATGGATCAATATGCTGGCGAAGAAATTTCCGTTCCATGCATTCCACAAAAAGGGGACGATCAAATCGGGCCAATGAGTGAACAGAAAATGTCACATGATTTGGATTCCAGATGCCCATGTGAAATTCGCACAATGAAGTCGCCGGTTGTACCGAAATTTCTTTCTGAATGGAATTGGCACAACGTCAGTCAACCGTTTGCTGTATCGAATGATCCAATTGTGACCTTGGTCACAGACTCAACTACCAAGAGCGTGAATGTTTATCATGAAATTGTTTACGAAAGTTCACCGCAAACAACCATGCTTGATGAGTCTGGAGTTCCGCGTTCCTTGGTGAGTCAAACATATTTGGATTACAGATGTGGTAATGTGGAAAGTTCCGATTCCATAGCCATTCCCGATCCAGAGGTGCAGAACATTCAAGATGTTGGAACACCGGTTCAAACTCAAGCGTACCAAGTCAGACACTTTTATCGATCGACAATTTTTAACGAGTATCGATGCCAAGAGCGTCATGCAGACAGCAGATATTCGCCCTGTTCGGATTGTCCAGAAGTGACTGTTGAAATTAATACCACATTCAATCATGTACGGGCCTCGTGTGATCGACTTGTGTTGGAACAGTTTGTGGACGACAAACCGTTGACTGTGACACCACAATATTTTGATACGGTTGTACGCCAGTCCTATTCGGATGAAAGTTTCACCAAGACTGTTCAACCGATCCGATTCGAACTCCCTTCCCCGAGTAATCGGGACCAGATTGTGCCAGCTACAAAACCGAGTGCTGAGGAAACCGAAGTATTAACGTCCACTCTGGGTCGAAGTAATCTGTTCTGGGAACCGACTCTGGCCTTACCTCCGATGGAACAGGCATTCTCGGCATCTGTGGCCAGAAAAACTGTGATTGACCTTGAAGCGTCAAAAAGTAGTGCAGTTCCTAATCGGGAATCGTTATACGCAAATAGGCTTAGTGAGATCACAGTTTGTCAAGGTCCAGATGGTGCAAATCGACGCATATTTCTCGAAGATGAACTATTATGCGAATCGTCTATCGGTCAAATATCGAACACCCTGACTGTTGCTGATGCAGCCAATCAAACTACCGCTGATGATGTGATGGTGACCATGGAACAGGGCAGGCGATCGATATGTCCAAGTGATGATCTTACCAGTCCACCGCTCTCACCAACCGCCTTGTCTCCGGTGCTTAGTGATGTGGCAGAAGAACATGAACAAATTGTGAGATATAGTCCACCGCGGCAACCAATCCTAATCGACGATGGTTTCGCGAGTGAAACACAAGTGATTAGTGTTGTTAAACTAACCTCTATGTTGGGACAGGATGATCTAGATGATGAACCGAATGAAATGTTGGAAAGTATCGCTCGTGAAGAAGCGTACACAACCGATGAGTACCACGGAAATGTGTCCACAAAGTTGATCGGACTACCCGGAATTACAAAAGTGAAAGAGGTGGGTATTCAGGTGGATGAAGATGAAGTGGGTACTATTTGTACAGAGTTTCGCACGAGCGTCAAATCAGGAGGAATAACGGAATCCGGTAAAAAACAGAATAAAGGCATACATCGTTCGGGAGCGCTTCAAGACATATCAAATAGATCGGCTCATAGGCGAACAACTGCGGCACCGGATAATACGAACACACAACTAGCCAAAATACATACCGGTACGGAAAAAAAGGACACCGATGTAAAGAATACGGGAATTGTTGTAGCATGTACTAATACTACTACTACTACTGGGACGGGTACTGGTGCTGGTGGGCTTTTGCTACAAACGAGACAACTGACCAAAACAGGTATGAAGGGTAAAAAGATTTTTATCAAACAATCCACTTCTTTTGAACAAAAAAGACGATCATGGATCAAACTCCCACCCGGTCAAAAAATAGGATCCTCATCCAAGAAGATACTAACCAATCTGCCAGAATTTGTGCACAAGCTAACAGGATCGACCCGAGCTGTTCATGGTCAACATACAAAAATGCCTGAGCAACCAAACCACGCGCCGGGACAAGTGATATCGCAGACCGAGATTTCACACGATCCAAAGCATCATGCTTTGCTCACTCGGAAAGGAGACACAGTCAGTTCAACTCAACATCGTACTGTGCACGTAACCATCTCGGAGGAATGTGTGCCAGCTAAAAATCTTGCATCGGTTCCGTCCAACGGTCATGTTTCATTTGTCCCGGAATCGATACCAGAAATTGAAACGAAGGATACAATTGCCGTAGAACGATGCAGTTCTGTTCAGAGCCGTGAGTTAAAGAAGACTGACTCCGATTCGTGCTGGGCTCCTGCTGGTCCGGTTAAGGCGGATATTGATGATGGCTCGGAGTGTACCCTGGATACATTGTTGCGATCGATTTCACTTCCGGAACAGTTACATGAGAAAGAAAACAAAACACATGCACCAGTTCTGTCAACACCAGTACACAGGGGTCTGGAATCGGTTCAGACTAGTATTTTGACTGAGTTAACTACTCAAAACGATTCGGAAACAAATGGTCCGGAAGCAGATACGGGAAGGGAACAGCAACATCTTCTGACTGTTCCAATAATTATTGAACCAGCTGGTACGGATTTGTCTGTAGAAAATGTTGGAGGACAAGATTTGGTCTCCACAATGGTTCCACTAAGGATGAATTTCAATGTATCACCGGATCTGGGTAGTCAACTGATTGCAATTGGACACGAATTAGAAGCGGCCACAATGGAAGATCAGTCATACACTACACTGGGAAATTTTGAGTCTGGTTTGAAGGGTCCCGAACCCCAGCGCACCGAGGCAGAACCTTCCAGTGCATTTAATCGCCTAGTTGGGTCTGAATCAATTATCGCAAACAGAGAAAATCAAGATGGCTTTAATGACCTGGATAATCCGATAGAAAAGATAACAGACAAAAAACCAAATACTTCTACTCTGCCAGCCTCGACTGCTTCACGAATGTCACTACGTCTCATTCGAGATACAACCCTCAGTCCGATCGAGTTACGCGTAATCGGCCGGGACNNNNGGACATTCACTCAGCCACACCGGATCTACTGGGAACACCTGATATAACGGAACCAAATGTGGTCCAAATTGAATCACAAATTAACATGGCATCAACTTCTTCAGCACCGCTACTGGGTTCCCATATGTCCATCCCAGATGATGATATGGAGTGTTTCGCCAGCATACATCCAGAGGGTCATGTGATCGCAATGGCTGATTCCCCGCATGCCACGCTTACAACCCACGTGAGTGATAGGAGTACAGATTGTTTATCGGTGGAACCGAAATATCAGCAACAGTGGCGGCGACAGCAGCAACAACACGAAGATCGAGAAGCTGGTCTTGTTTCACCAGAAACCCAAAAATATCGAACTTTAGGTCACCGAACGTTCGACATCAACACCAGGTCTCATCGATCTTCCTTGCATGAGCAATCATTTCCAGAGAACAATGCGATCAGCTCAATATCAAACCGGGAATCCAGCATGAAACAAATCAAGTCTGAATTGCAGCATGAAAAAGACCCAGAAAAGATTGTCTCTCTCGTGAAGGATTCTTCTAAAGCATCTGAAAATGACGCAACAAGTAATCAACTGGAGTTCAGATCGCATGCACCATTATTTCCTCAAGAGCACCCATGTCAATTGGTTACTATGTGGATAGAACCAATGGCAGAGTATGCGGTGAGTGAACAACATGTGGCCTGTTGTTCCACATGCCAACTGAGTGAATCGAAAGTAAGTGATTTTGTGCTCCCCTACGGAATGCGTTGTTCTCTCATGACGATCAGACCGTCGATGACATTGACTTTCACCGATTCATCATCACGTTCTGTCCAGTCATTTGCGATCAAATTCGATTCGGACCAGAAGACGCCTGCGATTGTGTTCATCCGGAATGATTTGAACGATCAATCTGTCTGGAGTGAAACGGAATCCGGGGGCAGAGAGGGAATTTCACGAGGTTTGAAAGACTGTATCAAAATTCACGACACTTCACGAAAAACAAACGAATCGATTAGCCATACAAATGACTCCATACCACTATTGATGGACAATTCTGTGAGATCGAAGGAAATCACACCGGGTGATCCGGATTCGGTAGCAACCAAACCGGATTCAGCCTGTCTTCGGAGATCCGAAACAAGCAAGAAAAATCAAGAGGACCTCATTCCGATCGAGTATAGTTACAGTTCGATTGATTTGATATCTGAACCGGAATCGTGTACTCCTATTGTCACACAGCCAGACCAGAAACAGATGTCTGGACAAATAATTGAAATCAGTGCACCACAAAATTCCGATGGCATTTTAACAACGGTCGCTACCGTACTGGCCGAACGTGTGCCAAGCTTGTACGATTCGATTCCGGAACAGTTACAGTCGGTACGGGAGCACAAAGATCCCACTTTGTATGCAACCGGTTCAACTACAGTTTCCATAGAAGAGCCGAAAATACCAAATACTCATTCGGATAGAACGTCCCGAGAATCGCGATTGAAGGCCAAATTATCACATGACATTCCGTCAGAAACATCGAGTTCTGCTGGTCTCAGTTTCCTGGACAATAAACCGGAGCAACTTCTCTCTACTCTGATGAACCAAACGGATCCGATAAAACCGGAGAATTTTACTATTAAACTAAACAGTTTTAATGATACTGCCACCGCTGCTGGTGCCGATAGTGGTGGTGGTGGATCAGTAGTACTACCAGGATCTTCATCTGTACCCACATCAGTTACGGAAACCGATTTGTCCGTAACACTGCCAGATACTTCTTCACAACCCTATTCCACCGGTAGTTTGCCTCATTGTACCAAATTGACTTGTCCATTCCGAATCCGAACATCGGATCATCGTGGCACACTATCCCATGTCCAAATCGGTTCCCAGTGTGATTGTTCAACAGCGGTCGATCAGAGAGGAACAACAACTTCAGTGGGGTGGATGACGGACGAACATCAACAATCGGGTGCGCCGACAATCGGGGTCCCGTGTTTTGTGATTATGGATGCTTTGCCAGAACGAGCTGATGTAATACCGAATCCGGAATATGAGGTTGCTCGTATGGAACAGACCGTTACACGAGATTTAGGTCGCTCATCAGGTATTGAAATCAGTTCACACCTGGCCGAATCGAGTGGTTCGGTTATTCTGCGTGGAATCTACATCTCACCTTATTTGTGTGACTGTATCACTCGGTACGGAAAACCAATTGTATCGTCTGAAATACCACGAAATATGTTTTGTAATCTGAGAAAAACCTACGTTTTACGTGCAGCTCCTCCGATCTTTCAGGGGAATGATCCGAAACTGGAGTATCCACCGTTGCGTGCACTGCCTATGGCGGGCGGTCACGGTATGGCACAACTGGCACATACCAAACCAAATCGAAAGTATAAACTTGAATCATTGCCCAAAACGTATGTGAATCCTGGGGATAAATTTGTGACAAAACATGCAGAAGTTGCCCTTGCTTCTCCTGCTCCTGTTCCCCCTCATCAGTATCCAGATCACCTAACCACGATTGCTGGTCCGGCTGGAGCGAGTGGCGGCCTATCGCCAGCCGAGGCAGGGCATCGTTCTTCACTGGGCCTGTCGTTTCCTTCGTCCAAAGAATGCCTGTGTCGCATATGTAGTGAACGTTCCGTCTACAACAACAAAAACACCGATCCGACCACATGCACGTGTAGTATTAGTGGTAGTCGATCGGCAACCGTATTTGGTTTCATTAAGGCAGATCGTCCCGTGAGCCATCTTCATTATCATCATCATCCAAAAATATGTTTTCGCGGTACGGCACCCTCGGAGGAGCATAGACGATTGATAGGATCACCACCCTATGTGACTCTCTCCGGTCCTTGTCAAAACTTGACCAAATGTGTTACAGCTCCCCGATCCTGTCACTGCACATGTCAACCAATGAATTCGGATTCGTGTGACTATTGTCACTGTGATACACATGCCACAACAACAACAAACCAACATCATATACGTCCTGTTTGCTGGAAAATATATCATGATGGAACTGGTTCAAGTACCAGACGAACCGTGAACAGTTGTCCCGTAAGTCGTTCCGTGGAACACGTGGCTCTATTGTATCGTGCTCCCTGTTTCCAAACATACCAATGGACACCAGATCATACGCGGACAAACACGATCCGATCTAATCCTTTCTGCTCATGTCTGTTGACC